AAATCTGTGATTAAATTCCTTCTGTAGCTTCAAAATACCATCAACATATTTCTCACCACTGAATGGTGTGCCTGCATCCACAAGTGTCTTGCATGCTGGGAAATGGCAAAGGTTTGTCTGAGAGAGCTGGGCTTTCCATAACACAAGTTTTGTGGAGAATGCTCTCACGTTGTCATAGGCAGCGCTGCCCCTGGCCTTGTAACTTTGTGTTCAGTATATTCAGCTCATGTGTGATGTCAACAAGAAAAGCTAAGTCCATGAGCCATTTGTGATCACTTAACTCAGGAACAGCCTTCCCATCCTTCTCCATGAAGGCTTTCACTTCTTCTCTCAACTCAAAAAATCTTTTCAAGACATTTCCCCTACTGAGCCAACGTACCTCGGTGAAATAGAGCACATCTTCATATTCTGACTCCATTTCCTCTAAAAAAGCACGGAACCTCCTGTGCTTTAAGCCCCTGGATCTGATTTGGTTGACGCAATTTACAACAACAGACATCACATTATCACACCTCAGGCATTTGCTGCAAAGAGCCTGCTGATGGATAATGCAGTGCAGAGCAATGGCCTCCTCTACACCCTCCTCTTCCAGTTTTCTTTGAACAAGTGCCACCAGTCCATTTTTCCTCCCTGTCATTGATGGTGCTCCGTCAGTTGTTATTCCAACAAACCTCTTCCATGGCAAACCGGCATTCTCAATGGCATCACACAGCTGACGAAGTATCTTGTTAGCTGTGGTCTGGCCATGCATTGGAATTACTGTGAACAGCTCCTGCGTCACTTCAAAATTGCTATCAACACCACGGTTATATGAGCTGAGTAGTGTCTGATATGTCTGTGCTCTCGTCAAGAGCGACTGAGTATGCATCAAAACATTTTGCTTTCTCACACAGTTGTTGATAAATGTCACTTGACAGGTCAGAAATGCGCTCTGCCACAGTGTTGGCAGAAAGGCTCATGTTGCTAAACTGACTTTTCTTTTCCGGACAGATAATACTTGCAGCCTGTAATATGCATTTTTTAACAAACTCGCCTTCTGTGAATGGTTTCCCTGCCTTAGCAATCATCTCACTAACCATGTAGCTAGCTTCTACTGCTGCAATATTCTCTTTGGTTGCTTTCTTGAAGAAATCTTGTTGCTTCAGTAGACATGCTTTAAGACTGGCAATCCGCTTGGCTCTCTTATCCCCCTGGTATTTTGCACATTCCTCAGCATGTTTAGTTGAATAATGGCGTTTAACATTGTATTCTTTGTGCACTGCAAGTTTCTCTGTGCAAATAAGACATGTGGGGATGCCCCTGTGCTCAATAAAGAAATACTGCGTCTCCCACTTTTCTTGAAATTGTCTGTGCTCCTCACCCACCCTTCTCTTCACTGCAGGCTTTGATGAAGACATGACTGGGATATGACAAAATCGATTCCGCTTAGTAGCACTCTTGTTTCACGTTTCAAACAAGTGTTTAGCTGGCTAATTGCGCACAGAGAACGTCTTAACGCATAACGTAATTTCCGCTTTGTGACGGAGCATCCCTTAACCGGGAGAGGGCTCCTCGTGCTCTCGAGCCAGAGCGAGAGGTGCCGGTCGGGGAATGTCAGGGAAGCTACAGGTGCTCCGTCACACGCTTCTATCTGTAAAAACAGCACACACGATAAACAGCCCGGTAACAGTCGCTGTTCTTTTTGCGCTTGATCATGACATTTGTGGTAGAAAGTACGGTAGATGGCAAGCGCAAAGGCGACTGCTGTCTGGCTGTTCATGACACGCCGTGCTGTTGTTGCAAGCGTGAAGTGCACGAAGCTGGTGTAGCTTAGCCTAGCCCCGACAAAGGACGGTGCGGGGGAGCTTGCTGATTGGCTCTTCGGAGGTCCACTTTCTCCACGGGCCACACTAATATTATACTTTCATATTAAGGTGCGGCCCACAAAATATTGTACTGCGGGCCGCACTTGCCCCCCGGTCCTTGAGTCTGAGACCCCTGTTGTAGAGGGTTCGATTGAATCGCTCACACTGGCCATTGCCAGCTGGTTGGTATGGGGTGGTGCGAGACTTCTGAATGCCATAAAGACTGCAAAGCTGCTGAATAAGGGCACTCGCGAAGTTACGTCCCTGATCAGAGTGTATACTGGCTGGGAACCCAAACTTAGAAAACCACTCTACTACCAAAACCTGGGCCACAGTAGTGGCGGGTTGATCACGGGTGGAGATGGTAAGCGTATACTTACTAAAAATGGAAAAGGATCCAACAAGGTGTAGTCGATAGCCAGAATCTCATTTGGCCTGGATGCCAAAAGATGTTCCATAGGGTTTCGTGCGGTGGGGTGGTTGTCCTTGGCAAACTGACAGCGCTCACATGCCTGGCACCACTGCTCAACCTCTGTGGACATCCCTGGCCAATAGCACCTGGATCGTAGAAGAGCTAGGGTCCGTTCCACACCTTGATGGCCATGCTCTTGGTGAACCAAGGAAGTCACGAGTCATATGAAAGATCCGTTCATTTTATGCGAGTAACTCACGAATGACACATCACTAATAGAAATACTGTAAATCTTGTGACATTGTAGAAGCTTATTGAAACAATGCCACAGCGAACGCGTGCCATAAACAGAGCTAAGGCGGTTCAATGAAATGTGTTTTTTTGGTGGTGATTTTTTTTTTTTGGCCAGGCAGTGTATAAGGATTCTTGTGATATGAAATAAAATGTGGTTTTAGTTATGAGTTCTTACCTTCGATTCAGACAATTCAGTAATCACGTAGATAACGCAAACACAATATGGAAGACTTGTGGGATATGCGTACGGAAGTCAACAAATACGTAAAGTGAACGAGTGAGGCGGCGCAGGCTGCTCCGAGTGCTCGTCCACTTAGCGTCAACATCTGAAAGCATGCTCGTATATTGAATCTTTACTCGTACCTCGAAGCAAAACATTTGGTTGACTACTTACTAGTATCTCGAAATACTCATAAGTGGGGTTCAAATGTATTCTCCACCTGTTTGTGTGCACGTGTGTGTGGGTGTGTGAGGGTGCGTGTGTGCATGCTTGTGTGTCACAAGGAATTTCTCTGGGAATGAGATCAGAGCTCACTGATGGTCTTAAGAGAGTTTCCACCTCATGAAACTGTAAGGTCAAAAATATTTTATTAATGCAAAATTAAAAATGGATTTCTGTTCATTTCTCTGATCCCCTTCATCTACTTTGTATTCAGAGAAGGAAATTGATCTGCTCATGTTAAAGACATGTTCAGCAACTGAATGAGCTTCAGTCATTGGCTTTAAGGGCTCAAAACATGCTAAAGCAGCTGCAGCTGCAGAATATACAGTATTACGTTTAACACAATGTACAAGTATGAGTACTTTCATTTGTGTACTTGTGTACTTATACTAGTACGAATACCAATAATGCTTTTGCTGGTTCCAATAAATATGCAATGTTATATAGGTTGCACT